AAAAAATTCAAAAATCCAAGAAACGTTATTGATTTCAAAGCCTATGCAATGACCATCACACCTTAATTTTTACTAAATTTTTACCTCCATATTCTTTTCTTGAGCTAATTTGGCAAGCACTTTATCCAATTCAATGCTTCCTTTGACCTCGTCCAGAAAGTTATCCCTTTGGAAACCACAGTAACTTATATCATCTCCGAACATCTGTAATTACAAGCAGACATCAGCGGTTGCAATAATATCATTACCGTATGTCATCCATTTTCATTCCTGCATCTTCAAAATAGTTGAAGCATTTTTGTGAATTATTGATTAGTTTATAGTTTTTGTGCGTTTTTACACATGTGCAAATGCAAAAACGCATATTGGCAAGAGGCTGTGTGTGTGTGCTCGCACTTTTTATCATCCACTTTCAACTTAAGAATCAGAAAAGCTAGAAGACTGAAACTTCGGGAGCATGTGTCCACACCACATGTGTCTCTCCTGTTTTATTACCATCACCAGTATACGCCTGAGTCCCAAGTACGAACGCCTCAAAGAAATATGCAAATTTTTTGACGGGAAGCAATCTCGGGAACTAAAGGAAATGGAGGGCGGAGACTTTACAGGGATATTCTTTGTGCATACATGGGCTAAAGATTTTGAACTCAACCCTTATGTGTTTTCGCTTTTCACGAATAGATATGTGAAGAATTTGGCGTGAAAACTGCTAACTCGGTAACCAGAAGAGCTGCAAGGCTGAAATTTTAAGGTGATGTTCCCTGTCTACGCAGAACTTAAAGACTTCAAATTCAGCTCTCAGGTAAGCGTGGTACTCACGTATGAACACATAAAGTTTTGGCGGAATAACTGCTAACTCGGGAAGAGAAAAGCTGGAAAGCTGAAATCTTAGGAGAATATTTTCTGCCCAAATACAACTTAAAGGTTTTAGATTCAGCCTCCAGGTATGTGTGATTCTTATGTACGGGCACTTAAATTTTTTGGCGAAAAAACTGTTCATTAAACAGCCAAGTCATTTTAAAGAAAGACCGCTAATAGGAAACTGTTTATTTTCGTTTACGCAAAATTTGCGACGATTTACAGGAGTGAGGGCACAAGATAGGTGCAAAGCAATAACCATCCATGCAGCTAATCTAATTACTTCAAGATTAGTGCAAAAACGCACGATCGCACCGGCAAACTTAGTGCGCTTCAGCTGGATTGAATATACGCTTTTACAAGTGAGTGCTCAGACGCTTATAACGATACAATATTTCTGCGGCTAAAAGTGTTGCAGAGTGTTAGAAAATATAGATAAAAAGAGTAGATCGTGTTACTCTAACAATTAACTGTTTTCTTCGCTATAGTATGAGAATATCAGTTTTAGACTGTGATTACCAGCATAATTACTTTATCTTCTTCGGTGAATGAATTTAACTCTAGATACTCAAACAGATCTTTGCGTAAGTTACGCCCTTCAATATAGCATTGGTCAAATCCTCCCCTTACATCTTATATGCCAGCCTTTCTTACGGTCCAACACTTTTCTTTCCTCTTTCTTTTTCTTTCGTTCGTTATTTATTATTGGTTTCATCAAAAAATTTTTTACAACAACCTTATTCATTTATATACTATAAATGAAAATAGTCGAGTAGGCAATTTTCTCACAGGAGGAAACAAACGTCGTGATCACCAGAAAGCTAACCATCAGACCAAGCAGCACTGATCAAAACATTTAGAAAAAATGCCAATTGCAGAGTTGAAGAACCTTTAGCAAGCGTATTTGTTCCTGCGAATTTTAGCTGATTCAGGTATAATCAAAGCAACTTTCCATTCTGAACATGTGTCCCTCACGTAGCTAACTTCAAATAGACTTTAATCAGATTAACAGCTTGTGTTGCC